ATGTGAACAAAAGTAAATGTAAAAAGGGTTTAATAAGAAGTTCAGAGAAAAGTTCTGGCTTATGTTGAAATAATAGGTACTATCAGCCAAGGTCAAGATGAACTATTTTGTGTGTTGAAGAAAATTGATCAATATAATGAAAAATGGAATTACAACAAAATGTATATGTATAACAAATATGTGTGTGTGTGTGTGTAGCAAAATGTATAACAGGAGGTTCTAGGGGGAGTATTAGTGATTCAAATGTGAAAACTATAATGTTACCAAAAGAAAATACAGACTGTCAAGGTTGTAGAGAAGTCTCAGTAGCCAAGAGCACTTCTTGATCTTCTCAAGGACCTGAGATCATTCCCCAGCACCTGTATCAGGCAACTTGGAACCAGCTGTAAGTCCAGCTCCAGGGGGTCAGATACCCTCTATCACCTCCCTGGACACCTGCACAACATGTGGCATACACTCTCCCAGACAAATATACATAACAATAAAATAAATATTCCAAAAATGTGTGGAATCCTCTTCATAAAGAGTTAGGGTGAACCTTTCTAAACAAAATTATCAAATCACACTTGCTATGTGTGTAAACTGCACATAAACTGCATTATACGTATAGGCAAGCAAATAATAGTAGCTGTGATGACCCTTGCAATGTCTAAAAATAAAGGGGGTTACAAAGAGTTTCTGTAAATCAATTTTTAAAATACAGAACTTCCCATGACATGACTTTCTATGTCAGAGACATAGAAAGGTTAATGTTACTTGGGGAAAATTTTTAAATGTTCAAACTCATTATTAATAATAGATATATAAATTGAAGGAATATATTATGCCTTTCAGTTCTCAAGAAAACAATAGGAAAGGATCAGGTGAAACTATGTTTCTGTGCATATATGGAGAAGTAAGAAAATGCAGTGTGAGAGCATGGGTTGAAACAGACAGCAAAGTAAATAATCACATTCTGCCTCAAGTCACTTGTTGGGTTGAAGGATCACAGACCCCCTCAGGGAACATGTGTTCACAGCAGCAATGCTGTGATGTAGAGAAACCCATGGTAGGTGTGGTATTATGCAGTAATAAGAGCGAACTCATAGCTGAATGCCACACGGGCCAACATGCTACAGCTTTCTACAGAAATATCCAAGATGGAAATCCCAACTCAAGTAATATTGAGTGAGAGAGGGTTTGGAAAAAATACATAAGATAATACCATTTTCTTGAAACAGAGTGACCAGCACTGTAAAGGTTTGGGCTGACTGAAACAGTGGGTGCATATAAGTCACAGTATAGCTATAAATAAGATGCAGGAAGAGACTGGGAAACAAGAGAATAGCTAAATTAGGTAACCGTTCATAAACATGATAACATATAACAATGTTAGGCCTCTGAATACATGTGTGTGAACATGACAGCGTATAACAATGTTAGGCCTCTGAATACATGTGTGTGAACATGATAGCGTATAACAATGTTAGGCCTCTGAATACATGTGTGTGAACATGATAGCGTATAACAATGTTAGGCCTCTGAATACATGTGTGTGAACATGATAGCGTATAACAATGTTAGGCCTCTGAATACATGTGTGTGAACATGATAGCACATAACAATGTTAGGCCTCTGAATACATGTGTGTGAACATGATAGCACATAACAATGTTAGGCCTCTGAATACATGTGTGTGAACATGATAGCGTATAACAATGTTAGGCCTCTGAATACATGTGTGTGAACTATTTGCCTCTCTAGGGTCATGGAAATTCTCTATTACAAACATGTCTGACTTACTACTATTAAAATCTTTCCTTCTTCATAGATGTGCTCATCGTGGTTGTTGTTCTCTTCAGTAAGACTATCATAATCATTCTAAAATACTATTTATGTCTTCCTGAAAAAGAATTCAAAGGTTCAGCGTATTGCATCTACTCCCTTAAAGCTTACCCTTCTCTCTAAAGGGAAGATTTCCAGAGAGGTGATCAGCATCCCTTTGTTATTGGGGTGACTAAAAAAGAGAAAAAGGAAATGTTAAACTACAAAATAAATACCCATTCTGAACAGAGATTTACTATTTAAACAAAAAAGAAAGTTTCCATTTGCAGTGTTGTAGATGCCTTCAGTCAACAACTTTTTGGTTCATTGTTTGTTTTGATTAAGGGTCTCACTGTATAGTCCAAGATTGGCATCTACCTCGTTTTACAGCCCAGGCCTGAAAGTCATGATCATCCCATGTTTGATTTCCTTGTGCTTGCATTTAGAGTCAAATGCTTAAGCATGAGCTTCCTAGATATGTATGCTGTGTGTCCAAGCTTCTAGTCAAAATGTCATAAGTAATGCAAACCTACACATTCAACAATATTCTTGCAAAACAAACCGGGCCAAAGTTCAGCCCCTAACAGCATTTTGACAATATTTACCTACCCAGCTTATTATTCGATACTTTACAATTACAACATTAATGACAGTCAATCTTTCTATGTCACTTATAAATTACCAAGACTTCCAAGTTTTATAAACACATGAGAGTGTTTCCATATTGACAGGTCTGCCCATGACCTGTTATTGACAGCTGCTTGGCATTTTGAGATTCATGTAGCTGTACTGCCCTCCATTTGTATATCTCAAATTACACACCAGTAAATCAGACATGTGACCCCAGACTTAGCCATGACATAAACACTAATGTCTCTGTCTCCTAAGTCTAAAAATATCCCACCCCTCTGGGTCCAATCCAGACACAAACAGCACAGTAGTTTAATCAGAAACATTCAATATGAAATGTTCCATCTGTATCAAAAGGCAAACTATAGTCTATCAGAATCTCTGGATGTTCTGGGGTTGTGGAAGGATCCTCAAATAAGAAAAGCAAGATGAAAGTGATGGCCTCCTGAGAAACTGCTGTACTGTACCAAACAGTAGGGCATTGTGCCCTTAACTCTTAGAGGAAAACGTAGTTATCATCCTAAGTGCTTGTTCCCCTAAGGGTAAAATGCAAAATAGAACATGAAAACGTCTTGAAAGTTGATGGACATGTTTATGACTGTGTTTATAACCATGATTTCAGAGGTACAAGGATGTATTCAAATTGACAAATTATATACATTAAATACAGTCAGCTTTGGTACATAATTATACCTCTTAGAAACCACAAAATATCCTTGTTCTTCAGTGAAGGAAAAGCAAGTGCAGGACTGCAACCAAGGGTGTTCTCAACCGAGAATGAAGATCTAAGAATGTAAGAAGCCCAGACCCACAGGCGAACCACTGAGGTGGCTACAAAGCAGGATATAGAAGGGATCTGGCTTTCAAAAAATCAACACGGTCAACTGTCGGCCTTAATTTCTGAGCAACCAGAATCTTACTTACAACGTCGTTACAGGTGACTATGCACTGTAGTAGTCTCTTTACCTGCACTTCTAGCAGTTTTGGAGTTTCGTGTTTTACATTGACGTCTTTGATCCACTTGGAGTTGGCTTTTGGGAGGGGTGAGTGCTATGGCTCTAGTTTTATTCTTCTTTAAGAACTGCCTCATTTTCCCATAACTATTTGTTAAAGATGCTGTCTTTTCTCTGGTGTATAATTTTGAAGTCTTTGTAAAAACTGAGTATCTGTAATAGCACACATTTAGACCTGGGTCTTCTTATGTCCAACTGATCTACATTTATGCTTTTGTGACAATACCGTGCTTATATTAATTTTTTAGTGTAACTTGAGATTGTGTATGGTAATAACTTAACTTCTTCTTTTTGATCCAGATCGTTTTGGCTGTCTGGAGTCGTTATGATCCCATATGATCTTTTAAGATATTTTTTCTACTTGTATGGACGCTGAAAACTTTTGTTTATAAAAGGATGCAGTCCATAGAATGAATAGGCAGCCTATAGAGTAGGAGAGAAACCCTGGAAAACTACAGATCCAACAGAGGATTAATATTCAGAATGTAAAAAGAACTCAAAAACCAAGGTAGTAAGAAAACCTTTAAAAATTCAATCCAAAAGAATAGGCCTTTGATCTGAACATAAAGTTCACAAAAAAAAAAGAAATACAAGTGCCAATAAATATTGTTTTAAAGTGTAAAAAAAATCACTGGTCATCAGGGAAAATCAAACTCAATTTCTTTAAGATTCCCATCTCACATGAGTCTGAATGACTGACCATATTTTTCTTTAAAAAATCAACTGACAATAACAACTGGAGTGCATGTAGAGAAAAAGGAAACTTTGTTCAGTGTTGGCAGGAGTGTAAGCCGGTGTCGTCTCTAGAGAGATCGTTGTGGGTGTGGAGATTTCTCAGAAGTAAATTACAATATGACACAGCTACACCACTCCTGGGCGTATATCCAAAAGAGTCTACATCCTACTAAATAGATAATTGCTCAGCTCTTTAGAGTTGTGTGTTTAACGTAGGGTTCCTAGGACAGCCTAGAAATTAGAAAGAGATTATCAGTGCAACCAACACCCTAAGGGAAGGAAAGCTGAGGTGGGGTACTCTTGGGACGTTTGAGTAAGGATAGTGTGGATGGCTTGGGAACATATGGGAACATGTAACAACAAAATACCTGCCAACCCCCCAAGATTTAGTTCATGTATTTCACAGCACATTTTATTTCAATTATTTCATTTCAAACTCTATTAATTAATGACCACAGTTACATAAAGCAGTCTATATTTTTTAGTGAATACATCATTTTATTCAAAAACTACATTCACGTATTCCAACTGGGCATTTCTTCTGTGCCTCTGAAGACAGCTGCAGCATAGGCTCGAAGAGACAGCTGTAAGGGTTTACACTCCAAAACCCAGTAAAATGAAGTTCATCTTCCATCTTCCATGGTGTGCTGAAAATACTGTCAATACCAGGAGTAAAGGCGTACTGTGAGATGTTTTCCGGTGTCGGCACACAGCTGTCAGTCATTCCTTGGGCTCAGACGAAACAGATGGAGGGAGGCTCCAGTAGGATTTGTTCCTACAGTATTTGTTCGTAGGGTGACAGGAGAATTGCGGTGGAGACTAGCAGCGAGAAGAGTGGCATTTTCTGTAGCCATAGCAGCTGGAGCCAGAGCCACAACCACAGCCAGAGCCGTATCCAGAGCCATAGCCACAGCCATAGCCAGAGCCGTAGCCACAGCCATAGCCTGAACCATAGCCACAGCCATAGCCTGAGCCATAGCCACAACCACAGCCAGAGCCGTATCCAGAGCCATAGCCTGAGCCGTAGCCACAGCCATAGCCTGAACCATAGCCACAGCCATAGCCTGAACCATAGCCACAGCCATACCTGGAGCCATAGCCACAGCCATATCCACGACCGGAGCCACAGCCTCCACAGGAGTTTCTGTAATAGTTGCAACACATGTTGTTGAGAGGTGAAGTTTCAGTTGAGAGGTCAGGTATTTCTGAAGAGAGGCTGCCACCCAGAGTCCTCAGACCTTTATATACCCGCAGGACTGGATGGCCCATGCCTCACATGGGCTCCTCTCTTTTTACAGACATGTTCCTGAAGTGAACTCATCCCCTCAACAGTCATGTTAGGAATTCACAATTTACTCCCCAGGAACTCACACAAGCATTCAAGGAAATAGATATATTTTCGGGACACTCAAAACTTATGCATCATAATGTATTCTCCATTAAGTCATTTTATGACCGTGACGTATAGAAAACATTGCCCGCGTATGCGGGACCTGTAAAGATGTGCTTTTCACTCTACCCCTGAAGTCCTTGTTATCCCGCGCTGAACACTTACAGTTAAGAACAGCAACAACAGCAACAGCGACGGCCTTACCGGGGCTCTTGCTCTCCCCTCTCGTGATTCACCCTTCCCGTCAACAAAGCCCTAAATTACTTTTCATGGATTCGGGACAAAGTTCATTTTAACTTGCTACAACCACTTTGAAAACTTCTAACCTTCCCTCTTATGGAAGTCTTGCTGGTCTGTCCTTCCGTGGGTGGTTTATGTACTTCTATTTCTTTCTCTTTCAAAACATGTTATTAAATTCCTACACATCAGCTTCTGAGTACATTTATCGCATACAACTTAAAGGTAAATGGACCCAAAAGGTTGAATGTGGAGAGTTGAAAGTGTTTTAGCTCAATAAGCTATTCATTCAGTTTTTTAAACAAATTCAGTGGGGGAGGGGAGATAACCACACCAATTTTTATGAGATTATTCAGTCTTCTCTTAGATTTGGTCATTGTTTCCATGCTTCCTTATTCACTGTGGTTAGTAAATAAGAATTGTTCTGGGTGAGTGGAGTGCATATGTAAATGGCATTCCAATCAAATGGTACAGAAATGTAACTAGAAGCAGAATGACTTAATGTCTTGTTGCCCGGAGTGGTGATTATAGCAAATCAGCAAGCATGTCATGTGCTCTTAGGCTTCTATAAAAGATGGTTTTGGCCAAGGGGCAGAAGCACATTCATGACGTATACATATGACCTAGTCTCCACAAACGGCCATAACTTAAGGAGATCTCTACTCTCATCCCTGTGTTGGGTGTCATTGCAGGGTCTTCCCCTTGCTCATTCTCCACTTGCTTGCACACTGTAAATGTGTACTTCCCCCATCCAGCTGTCACATATACACGATCACACTTCCATACCGAAATCTTTGAATAACTCTAAATTCTAGTCAGGAGTCCTGAGCCACACATCAGACAGTCGCAGACAATTCAAGACAAAATTATCATCCCATGAAAGATAAGAATTTAAGTATATTATGAATATGGTAGCCTAAGAAAGTCTAACAAGCGCTTACAGAATGAAACTTTATGAGGCATCCTTCCAACTTAGCACACAGACTGAAATCTGCACTACAGTTCACAACAGTGTAACTGGCAATTTGAAATCTGTGAAGAGCTGATGGAGGATGTCCATCAGCTGTATATGTGTTTGTCTTATTGTTTGATAAATAAAACACTGTTTGGCCAATAGAGGCAGGAAGATAGGCGGGACTAGGAGACAAGGAGAATTCTGGGAAAAGCTGGCAGAGAGGCACTGCAAGCAGATGCCATGTAATGGAGGAAGGAGTAACAGATCCAGACCCTTCTCCAATAAGCTAAGACCATGTGGAAATACATAGATTTATAGAAATGGGTTAATAATTAAGACAGAGATAGCCGAGATAGCCAATAAGAAGCCTTAGCCATCAGCCACCAGCTTTATAATTTATATAAGTCTTTGTGTACTTATTTGGTGGCAAGTCAGCTGTGGGATCAAGCTGGAAAGGAACTCCAGCAACAAAGATCAGCTATCATGTTGAATATGTCTATCATGATTAAAAAAAATAAACAGAATAAGAAAACTTGACAGGGATTAATGTGTTTGATTATGGTAACAGATTTGCATGTGTAAGCACAGCTCTAAAGACAGGAATTTATATGTACTGCATCCACTCACTTTTAATGAGTGATGTCTCAATAAGGCTGAGGAACAAGTAAGGAAACAAACAAACCTTGCTGTGTAGTCGTTATAAAAGCAGGACTAACCTACCAAAACATAGTGAGTGGAGGGATTTGGAAACAGACATAGGATTTTAAAAGGTTTCATAAGAGATAGCTTTTGGTAAAGGGGGACAAGATATGTGATTTTATCATCTGGTTCTGTGTATATGGCTAGGAGGCTACCCACACAACAAAAGGAAAACCAAAAGACATGGTGGTACAAATTCCTAATCCACTACTGGAGAACTAGAGAGAGGAGGATCCCTGAGGCTCACAAGCTTACCCCTAGGCCAATGAGATGACCTTGGCATCCCAAAAGTGAAGGTAATGTCACTACAAGTTGCCTTTTCCTCTCCTCATGTACCAAACATATGTTACATTATGCAGAGAGGGGGGAGAGGAGGCAGGGGAGACCAAGAATAATAATTATGTCTCTATGTCTTACATGTCATTCCTCAAGCCATGTGACTCAGTACTATAGTGAACAGACATGGGAAGAGTAGGCATCCTTTAGGGAAGGCTTCAGTTTTCCCCTGCTGAATATAATGCTAGCATCAGACATGGTATCTATATTTTAATGTGTTCAGGTAAAGTGCTTACAAACCAGAATAGTTGAGGGTTTTTATTGTGAACTTGATAAAAATTTCTAAATGTCTTTTCTGCATCTGGTACTATTGCCATGCAATTGTTGCCTTTCGTTATGTTGATATGGTATGTCCTGTTTTGGTTTTTTATTCAACTGTAGTAAACCATCCTTCCATAGCATGGTAAATTCCATTTGTTCATCGGAAATGATTCTTATAATGCTTTATGGATTTCAATTTGCTGACTAGAGAAGACTTCCACATCTATGTACATCAGAAATGCTAGCTTCATATTTTGTTTGCTTACCATACTTTGACTTGCTTTGGTTATCAAAGAAACACTGAACTCATTAAACAAATATGGGAGTGCCCCCTAGTCTTCAATTTTCTGGAAATATTATGAACAGTTTTACTTTAGACTTAAATATTTGATAAGGAAAAGTGACAGTTGAGTGATTAGCCCTAAATGATGTATCTGTGTCACCCCCCTACCCCAAGTGCCCAGGAATCATTATCACAATAGAGGGTTTGACAAGACTGTAAGATCCAGAAAATGGAAAGAATTACTACTAATGCTGTCTTCTAGATATATCGTATTGTGCCTGACTGCTAGACCTTCCCTGATCTGATTTTTTGATACACTACTGATAATTATTATATATTTTTATTAAGGATTACATGTGTTATGATATGCAAAATACTTCATTCTGCTTTATATTTCTGTCTATTTTGCATGATAATCTCTCCTCATTTGCTATTGTTAGCAACTTAGAGATTCACTTTTAATGGATTATATAGTTAGCTGTGAAGTGAGTCTGTTGGGCAGCAAAGAGTTGAGTGCTGTCTTATTACTTACTTAAGCATTGAGTGTTCTAACCATTTTTGATTAAAAGTTATGACTATAGACATACTGTTGCTGTTACTTAGATTCTTTCTAATTATTCATGGAAACCTATGGAGGTAGGTTGTTTCAAAGTTCATCACAAATGTAATATTATTCTTCATAAATCCACAAGTCACTGGGCATCATTTTTCCTGGATTTGCCGACCACATAGTCTTTACTCCATTATCTAGAATGTGTTTTTCATTTACCCTTCTCTTACAGAATCACTAAATCCCTAACTAGAAGTGATGGAGAATTGATTAACTAAACATGCGTTCTGACTGTGAAAAGTTACTTAGCCTCACAACAACTAGAAATCCAAACACTTGAGTCACTGACAGCAAAGCACACAAAGAAGGTGCTTCTGCTTTTACACCCCTCTAAACATTTAAGAAACTTCTCATATTGTGGAGGATAGTTTGCTTCAAATTCTAACAATTGGTATAATTCTTTTCATTGGTACCTAATCCCATGTCATACAAAAAGAAGATTTTAAAATAATCATAAAGATAATGAGAACTTAATATATGGCTAAAGACAAACGTGAATGACCTCACCTTTGTCGTCACACAAAAGGTGAATGGCCAATCGGTTGAAATGCTTAGCTGCCTAGTAGATGATGCAGAGAAAACTTTGTCAATACAGAGATATATGAAACTAGGATTAAATATAAAAAGGAAGCTTCCAAGAGGTTAATGATCCAAATGTGAAGCATAATTATTCTAACCAATGAGTAAAATGTGTAATTTTTGGCTTTTTATTGAAAAATTATTTCATAAAATATTTTTGCCCTCCTCCAACTTCTTCAGGAATAATCCCCACCTTCCTACCCACACTAGCTTTTTCTCTTTTTTCTTAAAAGAAAGGAAAGAAACACAAAAATATCCAGCAAAACAGAAACTAAAATATACAAGCAAATTACCAAATCCCCTCCAAAAACTATGAGAAAATCTACAAAAATAAAATGAGTCAATTTTCTGTTGGTTGACTACTCTTACGTATTGGATCTATCCTGAAGTGCAGATAAAATAAACTGTGGGAATCCGTTGGAGAAAACTAAGTCTTCCTTTGCTAGTGGGTATCAATTTCAGATTGCTCCTTGGTTAAGAACAGGAGCTCATGTCCACTTCCTTTTCTCAGTACTGAAATCCCACCTGGTTCGAACCAATGCAGGCCATGTGTGTGTGCCACAGCCTCTGTTAGCACATATATGCATTGGTCCTTTGCAGTATGGAAGACATGGATTCCTTAGAGTCAGCCACCACGTCTGGCTCTCATAATCCTTTGCCTCTTTTCCCACATATATCCATGAAACTTGAAGGTCTAGAGACACCCCATTTAGGGTTGAGGGTTTCAAAGTCTTTCACTCTCTGAACGTTTCACTCTCTGAAGAACCAAAGGGGGTAGTTTTTATGACTCTTAATGACTATGGGATGGCAAACTTCTATGGCTGTGACACATGGGGAACCATGAAACAATAGAATAACAAATGTAGATAAATACAAGACTTAATTGTCTTTGTCATAAATCCCTCCAAATGGGCACATG